AAGTGCCAGGAGCACATTCCCACATGAATGCACTTTTTCTGCAGTGAGCCACTGGTCTGAGGCACTGGTTACAGATGTCACTTTACATTAAGGTCAACAAAACATGAAAAGCCTCACTTTATGAGGGCAAAGCACAGAACTTAACTTTCTGAAGGTGGAACTGGGAGCATGACAGGAGTCCTACAGCTGAGGCAGCCCCTGAGCCCTGTGCCAGCAGCCAGCATGCAGGGGAAACTCGGCCAGCACATAGTTTAATGATTAACATTGTCACACAAAGGAACTACTTCTAAGCTTTCCAGCCTGTCTCCCCACTTTAGCAGCTTATTCTCAAATGCTCCTTCCCTCAGATGAACAGCGGAGAGAAGTGTAACCTGAGTTGGTACATGGAATAATTGAGGGGGTAGAACATCCCTGACCCACCCCGTCATGGGCGGAATTTATTTCCACCAATCTGCCACAACCCTGGCAGGGCACGGATAACAGAATCACAGAACCATTAAGGGTGGAAAAGACCACTATGACTGTGTAGTCCAACCACCAACCCAACACCACCATATCACTTAACCATGTTGCCAAGTGCCCCATCTCCATGTTTCTTGAATGATGCTACCACCACTTCTCTGGGCAGCCTGTTCAATCACAACAGGCTTTAGGTGACCAGAAATGATAGGGGTGAGTCCTTAAAGACTGCAAAGACAAAATGTGAAGCCCAAACAAGGGCAATGTGTAGGCAGCTACAACAGCAGGACAACCTGAATGTTAATTGTCCCTGGATGGCAGCCTGAATCTACTGCTGAGATACTTAAGTCCATGTCAGCACACAAGACAGTATCCAAGCTCTCTTGACTTCACTAGTATTTAAACTGGAGTTAATTACCAGAGGCATGCAGATTTGAATAATGAATGCAAACTTTCTTTCTATTCTTTCAGCAAAGACTGAGGCTTCACCTCAACTCCAAATCAGGTAAGCTTATCTCCAAGTCTCTCATCTCTGACCTGAGCGAGTCTTCCCCATCCCATGCTGAGCAGTCCCATCCTGACCTGCCCCACAGCAGGTGTGATCCCTCACTGCAAGGTGCTGAGCCTACGTGGCTCCTAAAGGTCACCAGTTGATATGCAGCAACCAAAATCCATCTCAGCATAGCTGCATCAGATACTCCTGCTGAAAATGATATGGGAATTTACCTTGGGGAGAAAAATACTGATGACTAACAGCAAGTCCTGATCTAACAGAAGCATCTTCCATTCAGATTCAAAACTGGAAAGCTAACAATTCCTTCTAATGATTCAACACAACCTTCTGGCAACATGCTTGCTCACAGTCCTTGCCATGGAGCAGTGACAACCACAATTAATGCTTCACACAGGGCTGCATATAGCAGCAGGAGGTGTGTTTCTGCTGGAGTTATAACCGTGGTAGTGGAAAGCGAGACAAAAAGATTAATGATGGAAGGCGGATCTCCAAACCTTACTTACTCTTAATGAATGTGTCACAAGACTCGGTTGAGCAAATTCCTGGACATTTAACAAATGCTGTGTGCTGCATTATTTCCTAGTTTCTCCGATTCACTGCTACATAAACATTGGAGGTCAAACAGTCACCCTGCACGTCTGCTCACTAGCACTGTTTCATTTACAATTCAGATGTTACAGCTTTAGATTCTGCTGAAGTGCAGCTGAAGGAATCAGGCACATCTGTGTACCATGTTTTCTGAACACTCAACACAGAGCAGCACTGAGTGCCTCCGGTACACTCATGAGCTCAAATAACGCCTTACAAGAGTCTCAGGGCACTGGAGGCACAGAAGAGCAGCAAGGGGACCCTTTTGCCCTACAGCTGCTGGTCCTGCCAGACACCTTCTGGGAGCTCCTAATCCTCCACACATGATGCATGGACACAGGACCAGGGAGCTGATACAGCCAAGCAGGTCCTAGAGCAACCCCTGCAGATCCCACTGGGATGGGGGCACAAGAGCTAAGGGAGCGCTTTCTAACCATTCTTCTGTTAGCGCTCACAGCAATGCTAACGCCTGTTAATCCATCCCCAGCCCTTTGTTAGGATGCACCTTAGGAGAGACTAGGCAGAAGCAGAAAGCAGACATTGGGCATTCTGATCCTCTTTAAACTCAATGCCACAGTTCTAATCCTCCAACTAAAAAGAAAGAAGAGAAAAAATAAGACGGTCTGTGACAGGTTGGGAGGGCTAAATCCCTGTTATCTAGGACATCAAGATGGAAAGGGCTCAGCCACACACACATCCCACGCCTCTGGTGATGCTCCTACAGAAGAGCATCTCTGCCAATCTCCCCACTGGAGAGTGACATCTGGTGAGCCAGCTGCCCTGGGCTACCAGCAGCAAGACGGCTCTGCGTAGAGGCACTGCCACACTGAAACCAAAGTGCTACAAACCCCGGGGTGCAGGGGACAGCAGGGCAGGAGCAGTGCTCACCATAAAGCAGAGCTGCGCAGCCCAGCGGCTGAACAGCTGCAGAGAAAATGTCACACAGCCTGCATACCATTCACTCTGCCAGGTGCAGTCATTTCCTTCTTCACACTAGGTATCCCTTCAACTCCAGCACACCTGTACTGAAAGTGAGGCTTTGAGCCTTCAAAAATTAAGAAATAATTTACTATTAGCACTTTCAGTAATGCTAGAAGCTGAGTGATACAAGGTGATTGGCAGGTGTTTCCTCTACTACCCGATGTGGCTCGATCCATGTCCTGCACTGCAAGGATAGTGCTGTTCATTGCCACTTGAACCACCTCCTCTTGGCCCACCCGGCATTGCAGCCTGGGATGTGTACCTGTGCCAACATGAGCCAGCAGGTCTGTCCTTGCATCTCTTTCACACGCTGCCAAAAGCACGTGCTGGGGAAACCCTCTGAGGCAAGACATTCCTCTGAGCACCTCATCCTCTCCCAATGGACCTTCTGTGCTAACCACAGCCAATTCTGAGGAGCACCAATTTCCCTGCCCTTTCCCAGGTTACTCAGCCAGCACAGTCTGAAAGGCTGCAAGTGCTCAGCCAGCAGGCACAGCACAGCAGCTGGGCACCCCAAGGCACAGCACGGCCACACTTGGACCACCCAAACAGAACGGACAGGACAGGCACAGCTTTGCTCAGATTTGCTCCAACAAGTGCTGAGGCTCAGTACCTGATTACATTAACAGTATTGTTGCAAACCATTTATTTTATTTCAATTTTTAATGCTCTACACAGGCCCAAAGGGACAAGTTAAATACAATTGTTTTCTACTGTTTAGGCAAATGGCATTCCTGCATTTCAGAGATAAACATCATAAATAAAATATGAGGCTTCCAAGCTGCCACTGAACATTATTCCAGCAGTGACATCCCCGGGGAAGCAGTCATGCAGCGATCCCTTCCCAGGGTGCTCACCCACTGCCATAGCTGAGATCCCATGGAGAAGCACTGCAAGGCCTGAAGTGATATTTTATTCTTCGCATCAGGATAAAATAATTAAGAGAACTAAGAGAGCCTAGAAAGTACTTCAGCTTTTTAAAACCATGCAATTCACTGTAATTTGCCCAGGATCTGAAATGCCATGGTACAGGCACAAGAGTAGGCTTCTCATGGGCTCGCTCATCCAAGAGACGTGATTAATTTTTTCCCCCAGGAAGAGAAGCAGCCAATTGCAGAAAATTGCTGAAATAATTTTCCAGAGAGCCATAAGTCACATGAGTCAGCCCTGCCCGCAGTGAGCCCAGACCTGGGCTCCAGATCATCACTCGCGGGGAGAGGAGGAGACTGGGAGCCAGCCGAAGGCTGTGGAAGGCCAAGGGACCGAGCAGCACGCAAGGGATGCGCACGCTCCTCTTACACAACGCTGCTGCCATCGTCGATTAGCTCAAGTCGCTTGGCTACCCCGGGGCCGAGGGCCTTGCACAGGACAGCCGTTGGAAGCAGCATGTTCCCCGGGCTGGACAGGGGCAGAGGGCAGCGCCGCAGCCCGACCGATGGGGGAGGGACGGGCACCGAGTGCCGCCTCGTACGGCAGGCGGAACCTGTCCTGGTGCCTCGGGGCTGTGCTGGGGGTGCCAGCCCCCCGGGCCAGCGCTGCCACAGCGCAATAGAGAGAAGCTCAGACATCGCGGGACCGCGCGGCCACCCCTCAGCGCAAGCAGACAGATGCAGGTCAGGAGACGACATTGCCACCGCGCAGCGCTGCTGTCGGGCACGGCAGGAAAGGCCCCATAACACACCCTCTGTCTGCGAGCGCCTCGCGGGCACCCGGCTACAAGTCGGGTCAGGAGGCAAAGGATGAGAATTTCTTTCCGTTAAGAGGTTCCAGGGCGAGCCCAGCCGGGATGCAGGATGAGTCGCGGAGCTTTGCTACCCCGCGCTGCAGCTCGCACGGTGCTGAGCCGCCAGCGCTGCCCGGGCAGCGCGGCATCCAACACGGCACCGCGTCCTGCCCCACGAGGCGGGAGGGCACGCGGCTCCGTGACACACCGCATCCCTGAGAGAGCGAGTAGAGCAAGCAACAAAAAACAAAACCCAAACAACAGAAGGGTAGGCGGGTGAAGCGGAGAAATAAAAGTGCCGGAGCGAGCTCCAGAAGAGCGGGGCTAAGGGCAGCGCCCGGCATACAGAGGAGCTCAGCCCTTGGCCCGGCAGCGGGACAGCGCTTTGCTCGCGGCGGGCCTGCAAGGAGCTGGGGGCATCGGGAGCATCCGCGCGGCTGCTCCAGGCTGCGACGCGCGACAGTAACACCCTCAGTGTACCAGGAGCATCGGCTCGGGGAGACTTAGGAGTTTCCGCATCGGCCGGGAACGGCTCCGCCAGGCCGCTTCTGCCCCGGGAGAAAGCGAACACGGAGCTCCCAGCCGACCCAGCCGAGGGCTCAGCCCGAGCACCTCCGCGAGCACCGCTCCGCTGCCCGAAGCCGCCCGTCCCGCTCCCCGCTGCCATGGTTACGGCGAGGAAGCCGGAATCAACCCGAAGAGCCCCAACTCCGCCCGCCCCGCTCGGTCACTCACTCCGAGGGGCACGGCGCTTTCCTCCCGTCGCGCCTCCGGACGCCCAGCAGCCCGCTGCCCTCCGCGGCCGCTACCGCCGGCGGCCGCCGAGCGCGGCTTGCCGTCCTGCCATAAGTAGTAGAAAGTGCCCAGGATCCAGGCTGCCGTCAGGATGGCGATGGCATTGGCCCTGATCCTCCTCATGCCGAGCGCCCCGTGGGAGCCGGGCTGCACCGCCGCGCCGGGTAAAGGCGGCCGCGGGCGGAGGAAGGCGGCGGCGCGGAGCTCCCCCGTGCGCTGCGATGGAGCCGCCCCGGCCCGCCGGGTCCTAACGCGGCGCCCCGCCCTCCCGTGCCCGCCCCGCCCCGCGCGGGTCCTGCCGCGCCGAGTAGTGCGAGAGGCGCGCGGCTCCTCGGCGGTGCTGCCGGTGCCCTGCCAGGGGCGCTGCGGAAGTGCGGTCGCTCAGCCGCGCCTGGAGCGGGAGAAAGCCCCCGCCGACGTTTTACCTAAGCGGGCCCCCACCCCGAGCGTGGCCGCGCTGTAAGCGGCGACGCCGCCCGCGGATAGCGGAGGCGGCCGTACCCGCAGCAGCCCGGCGAAATCTCGGTGCCGCCTCTGACGCAGGCGTACGATGAACATCAACAGCGATAATATTGCGCCGCTGACTTTCGCAAAAGCATCGGCTAATTTCAATAAACGCCCCGTTTTCCGGCACGGGTGACCTGAGAAACATAATTCTAATAAATGAAACAAATCAAGATTGTGCGAAACTCACGCAGTTGCGGCGCGGTGCCATCACCGCCACCACCGCTGCCGGGTTCGGCTGTTACTCCCGTGCTGGAATTTTCAGCCTTAGTTTCTGACCGAGGCGGCTGTGGGATGACACATCCACGTTTGTTTGAAACGTGAACGTAAGGTCTGTCTGGACACCGGAAAAGGCTTAAAGAAAGATACCCAGAGTTTAGCTAACAGTGCCTAAAGAAAACCCATCACAGGGGCTGGGGGCCTGAGCGAGTCCCTCAGCGCTGAGGAGCGCAGTCGCACCCTCGACGGGCAGAGGCTCCATCTTCCCGCCTTGCCCCAACCCGGCAGCAGAACTTTCTTACAAAAGCCTTTGCAGCAGATCCTAGCTATGCCATATGGGTGAAAACCGGCCCCAGCTCAGGGGTTTCTCACCAGGCTGCTCCTGGGGAGCTCCTTCTGCATGGGCAAACGTTGTAACAGGGAGAATAAGGCAAAACATCCCTCTCTGAGCTTGTTGCCATCGGTGGCTCCTTCCTTCCCCTCCGGACCCTCCCTGGGCTGGACACACCTTCCCTGGTGAAGCTTCTGCTCCCTCTGAGCAGGGACAGTGCTTCCAGGTGCTCAGTTATGAGGAAGAAATGGGTCAAAGCGATTGACCTTCTGAAGGACTCTGAGCTCAGCCCTGACTTCAGCCCAGGAAACTCCTGGAAAATTGAAAAGAGAGGTGTGAGCCTCAGAATCCTTCCCCCATAGTGAATGAATGGCAGCTCTGGCGGTCTGAGCACAGCAGCTCATGTGCTCTTTACCGAGACCCACACGGTTCCTCCATGAACCTTCAGAAACGTCAGCTTCACTGCAGAGCCAAGGTAGCAATGTCTGTGCCACCATCCAGCACTGCATGGCTTCAGAGGAGAAAAATGTGCTCTGCATTACTCAGCTGAGCTGGCCAGATTCCTAAATTGCCCCAAACACTCTCCTCGTCTGAAAGAGCTTTCTCATGCTGGTCAGAGGGTGTGGGTTTCTGGCAACCCATATTACTGTGCCTCTCATCATCTGTCACCCTGCACATCCTTGGCCTCAGCCACCACCACGAACACATAAGGTATACATGAGGTCTGACAGCTCATCTTAACCGTGGCCTGCAGCCACTCATCTCCACAGGCACTATGAACAGCTCAGACAAACTGTGCCCCCAGGAGTGGCTCCATCCTTTATTTATTCTGCTGCCTGGACACTAGTGGCACAGGGGATGGATGATTCCTGCCTTTAACAGAAGATGTGGTGCCTAGGATGGCACACATGCCAATGAAGGACGGAAATGCCTCCTGGCCTTTGGTTACTGGCCGATATCCAAGCAGCACGGTGGCAGAGGGCAGTGACCCAGGGCAAAGTGAAGTCAAAGAGCACACAGCTGGGAACTGGGATTTGAACTGCTCTGTATTGAACTCTACTGGTAAACATTCTTTTAATGCTATTTAAGGACACCATGACCTTAGTTATCTTCGTGAACCTTTTTGTTAATGAAAATGAGAACAGCAGAATTCTCAATAAGATGTAATTAACTGTTCTACAACACATTTGTGCTTATCAAGAGAAACATCTGCTGAAGGCTAACCTTGGCCAGGGCATCTCCTCTGGCAGTCTGAAGGAGCCCGGCGAGTCTTCATAGAAGGTGACCTGGGACTCAGGACTCCCCCTGGGGAGGAGGTGCTGTTAACCCTCTCTGAGCCAGGTAACTCACTGCAGGAGCTGCACAGCTGCAGGGCTGGGCACAGCCTTGGAGAACACAGTGGTGTTACCTTCACTGCCATTCCTCAAGGCTGCTTTAGCAGAGTCAGGGCAGAATGAGGCACAGAAAATGCCACAGAGTCATACGCACACAGTGAGATCTCAACCGTGAAAAAGAATAAATATTTAAGTAGAAATAGTTACATATTAATCCAGATGATTAAACTAGAAGACCCGCTAACAATCGGCCTGACCAGCTTTACAAGTGACCTAAGTTTTCATTCTCCCTTCTACTGTTCTCACCATCTTTTCTCATCCCTGTCCATGTGCTTCTCTTACTTGCTGTATCTGATTTTTTTCTAGGACAGAGATTTATTTCCCACCTTTATGGTAAAGCATGTAACTCTTTTATTGTGCTCAGAATCAATTAGCAATGAAATCCTTTTATTACAATCTGATGACTATTTGCTCTCCTTTATTGGCAGCACATCACAGCTCTGACTGTGACCTGAACAGCAATTTAATCCTCATAGAAATTCTAAGCTTTTAAGGCTCAATATAACTATCAGGTTGGTGCTTATAACAGCCCTTTTAGCAGCTTGCAGTGCTCATCTGGCAAAGTGATGAAGTTCCTGTCTCTCGCTACAGAGGAATTCCAGACAAAAACACTGCAGTCTGGGAAGTAACCCATGAAAAATGTCCTACCCAGTTTCTCACGCATCCCTTAAGAGAGGGAGCAAACTGGGTTCAAGTCTAGTGCACTGAAATATGCTTAGTTTTCCTTAGAGCCAAGCAACATACTTATTTTTGAAGCTCCATCACTCGAAATAACCTGAACAATTAACAGAAAACTTTTCAAAACATTTCAGTCCTGGCACTGAGCATGAGAAAGCCCAGGCTGAGGAGGAGCCAGGAATGAGAGCCATTAACCTGGCAGCCTAAGAGGCACCGCTGTGCACCAGACTGCCTCCATGTCCAGCCAGGGTCCAGACCATGTCCAGTGGGGAACCGGAGAAGCCAAGAGAAATGGTGGAATCCAATGGACATCAGGAGCAATTGTCCATCATGTTAAGCTGGAAAAAAGCAGAGAAATCCTAGATGGTTGTGCTTTCCAGCTCCCTGAGCTGACAGGCAGAAGGATTTGTAGATGGCATCAGCACTGTGGCCGCTCACAGGGCAATGCACAATTGTCAGTTGACATTGTTTCTGACTGGAGACTAAAAACCACAACCTGAATCTGGCGGTGTTCCTTTTCATTGCATTAAATAGTGATATGAGTTGTCCTGATCTTGCACACACACACCAGTATCTCCTTCTGGAGCTTCCACAGAAACCAGCTCAGTCTCATCATCTCTACTTGGTATCTCCACATCGCCAGCCCTTTCTGAGTCCTGGGGCAGGCAGATGGGGCTCCTTGAGTTTCAGATCAGGTCCCACAGAGAGCAAAGTGAGATCTGAGGTGCAAACCTAGGGGCAGAGACTTCCTCTGAAGCTCTCCAAGATCTGGTGTCTGAGGAGACAGAGCCATAGAGAGCGCACTTGACATTAGGGAGTATCTATTAAAAAACATCCCAAAGGGCTGCTGGAAGTAGCAGCATTTCTACCTGCTACTCCCTATGGGATCTGCTAATGGACCCGCAGTCTATAACCTTCCGCGTCTGTTGGCAGCAGAAAGAAACTCTGCATTTAAGAAAAATGACCCCTTGTTTCTCTCGTAATTACCTCCTGAACCTGAACGTGAGGGTTGGCAACAGGGAGCTGCCGCTGTGGGAACACAGCAGCCAGAAAGTGAGAAATGGGGGAACTGCTTAAGCCACCACATACAGAAGTGATACTATTTCATCTGAGAGCCTGCATGTCTGCAGAGACGCTCAGCACATCGGTGCAGCTTTTTCAGATGCAGAGATGCATCATCACTCGTGCAAATGCATTTCACACACTCAGACCTGTTTTTCAGAGTAATTGGAACTTCCAGCAGTCACTGACTGTATCTTCTACTGCTGGCTGAGGACAAGGAGACCTCTCCCACAGGAGCTCAGAACCAGCACGAGCCTGACCATTTCTGTTTGAAGGTCAGAGCAAGATTAAAGGAATGTGCCATCTCCAGCAAATATGTATAATGGCTTGTGTGTGCAATTCCTCTAGAAATGTGCCTGCTGCAATGCATTTTTCTCCACAGAAAGAAGATGAAAGATGTTGTACGTGACACTCATAATCGTGCTGCTTAATGGAACACTAAAGAACACTAATATGTTATTTCATCACAGTGAAGCCCACACAGACAGAAGCAGCGATATCAGTAGCCCCCGGTCCTGGGTTTCACAGCTCCGTGCAGAGCTTTGTGCAGTCTCAGCCTCTCAGGAAGCACACTGCCATCCATCAGTGTGACACCAACCTTTAACGCTCCATAGCTTTGCTCTTACTGCTTCAAATCTCAGACTCCACCATCACAGCACCTCAGCCACACACCGAGCTCTCGTGCACCATGTCCTTGCCTGGCGGCCCCAATCCCGTTCCTCCATGGATGGGAGGAGCTCAGCCCTACCCAGCACAACTGCCTGAAAGGAGGTTGTAGCGAGTCAGGGGTCAATCTCTTCTCCCAGGTATCTAGATGAGAGCTAACAATGTTAAGTTGAGCCAAGGTAAGTTCAGGATGGCTATTAGGAAGAATTTCTTCCCAGAAAGGGTGGTAATACACTGTCACAGGCTGCCCTGGGAGGTGGGGGAATCACTGCCCCTGGAGGTGTTCAAGAAATGTGTAGATGTGGCACTGAGGGACGTGGTTAGTGGCAAGGTGGGGTTGGCTGACTAGAAAATTGTACAGG